GTCGACTTCCTCGCGGTTCTCCCTGGAAACTATCATGGGTGATTCTTGATGAATTCATCATGATGGGCTAACTGACCTGCTTTCATTCTCATCTATCACCCTTCACTGGTGCTCCGCCAGCGTATCCGTTAGCGCAGGCGGGGTTACCATACCATTTTCACCCATAAAAAAAACCCTAAATTAAAACCAGCAAACACTAACATAAAAGAATTATGAGAAATATTAAACGTAGCTCAATAAAGGAACAAATTACTAAATTTAAAAATTTTATATATGTATAATGTAAGCCAGAAAAAGTAGTTGTCAAGCGTCGAAGCATTGTCAATGATATTTGATGATTTGCAGACTCAGATAGAGGTTTTGGATTACATGAATCTTTCAAAGGAAACCAATGAACGCGAGAGTGTTGAGCATGAGTTTATTCTTAATACAGCTGCATGTAAGAAATTTATCGATAAATAAAGCAAAACAGAAGTTCAACAAATACATAACTCAATGTATCACGATACTAGTGTTCACTGGTCGGTTAATTATAATGACAAAAGTAACATGGGATTTAAATTATCCCAGATCAAAATTTCTAAGTTTGATGGAGCTTACTTTCGTTGGTTAGAGTTTCACGATACCTTTGAAGGTTTAATATAAATACACAATAATGTACGTATTTCTTAAAGTTTCATTATTTAGTTTCTTATCTGGAAGGAGAAGCGGCTGTAATTATATCAAATCCCGAATTATCATTTATTTTAAAAATACTTTGTGAGCGCTATAATAATAAACGGCTTCTAACTAAATACCATTTTAAGTTCTTATTGGGCATTCAATCACTAATACGTGAATCAGAGAAGTCATTACGGTTCTTAGATCTTATTGTCACATGACAAAAAAAATCCAAGCTTTTTCCAGCTTAGGACAACTTACGGATTGGTGGGATGTGTTACTCACATTCATGTTTTCGTCAAAATTAGATAGCTGAATGCTTGCTAAATGGGAAGAATACCGCAATATTCTCGATGATATTTGGACTTTGATGTAATTCAACAAATTCTTGATCGACCGTGCAGATGTTTTTAAATCTAAGATAAAATTAAATTTTAATAAAAATAACTCGAGCTAAACTTTTCCTACAGTGCCACATTATCATAACATATTGCACTTTTCGACTTACAAAACTAATCTTTAAACACGAACACTTACGTAACATGCATGCTGGATCTCCATTATTATTAGCAATAGTTAGAGAAACTGTCTGACCAATAAATATAAGTTGTCTTTAAAGACACGTTGTCAACAATTGTGTATGTTGTAGATGTGTTGTAGGTAAAACATGGGCAATTTACCATTCCAGAGAGTAACACCTGACTATCCTTTCATATCTGCAGGTTTAAACTACGCTGGACTATTCTATATTCTTAATCTTAAAAGGTCATTTTACTACCCAACTATAGTAACTATGTTATTTATATTTGCTTACGATATAAATGTGTACATCTTGAAGCTGTCAGCGATTTATCGAAGGATGCATTCAAAGTGCTATAAACTTTCGAAGTGTTGTCAACACTTCGAAGGTTAATAGCGCGCAGAATTGAATTTTTTTCAGACAACGACCGAAATTTTGTAGCAGCCTCTAAAGAGATTAGTAAATTTTTAATACATTATTCCGAGCTTCTATGTGATTTTGGAATCCGCGAAAGTATTATATTTAATTTTATTCTAACTTACGCTCCACATTTTGGCGGTATTTGTAAGGCAGGTATAAAATCGGCAAAATATTTTATTAAACGCGTAATTGGAAACAGCCCCTTGACGTTTTAGGAGATATCTACACTATTTGCGCAAGTAGAGGTCATTCAAAATAGTCGACCCTTTACTCTCTTATCGTCATCTCCTAATGATTTCTTTTCTCTCATACCTGGCCGCTTTTTCTTTGAAAGACCATTAAGTGCGCTACCGTTACCTAATCTACCAGTTTCCAATTAAATAAACCCACGGCGATAAGCATGCCATGAATTGCAGCAGAGAACTAAATGGAGAACCAGCACAGCAAAGCTTAACATAAGTAGCATGGATCTTATACAGGAAGACCATGTACTACTCTTAAATTGGAGGCTTGGAAGAGATGTCCGTTTATTCCCAGAGCCAGATGGAATTTCTCTGGTAGCAGATGTTAATATCTTTAAAGGATATATACGAAGATCTTTGGTTTGTCTATGTCCACTGCCAAGTGAAGAGACTGATGAGTATAAAGTATTTATTTCAACGTGATGAGAAGATTTTGCGGCTAACAAGCCGTACGAGTAGAAATTCTGCAAGTGAAGGAACACAGGCAATAGTTTTTGTTATCTATATATTAATGACATTTAAAAAACTGTATTGGTTAGCGTAAGATGCAATTTAAAATTGTATTAATTTTTATTAGTAAATTACATCATTGAACAAATTAATCCGTTTAACTGACTTCATAGTGTCAATATAAGATAGTGATAAAGTCAAAGCATAGAATAGAGGTCGCATAGAATAGTGAGCTCTTGTAATAAGTACAAAGTGCTTCAAAGAGATTTTATAATTTTATCATTGAAATAATAGCCAACAAAGTGACGCAATACTGCAGATAATATCTTCCAAGGGATCGAAACAGTGGAAATGCGCTACTCGCAAAAATATTCATTTAGGGCAGGAACTTTTGCTATTTTAAGATATTTAATCGAAGAATAAATTTAAAATTTGAAAGATAAAAAATACAGTTGTATAAGTTAACAGTAAAATGCCGCCCAACGATGCCCGCGCCCATTTATGAGGTACTGATGTTCTAGCAATTAAAGGAATGGGGCCAATATAGTAAATATGTAAGGCGTCGAGCTACAAAGTACATGTAAGCAGTGTTTAATAATATTATAGGCATAGTTTAGAATTATTTAGATATTTTAATAGTGCATGTTATTTTTAAAGGTATTATACTTTTAACCGTAAACTATTCACTGCTAAGCATAAGCCTGCCTAATAAGAGGAGTTTTCCCAGTAGTTGCCGCACTTAGCAAGCGGGTTGGCAATCACAGTTAGGCTTTTAGAGATGTTTTAAGAAGGGCGAAAGGTACTATGACGAATATTTAATACTAAAGTGAAAATAAAGTTCGAAATTAAAAAATATAATACTACGTCTAAAATATGTGGTTATGAAGTGTACCACTACGCCAACAACTACCTCAAAGAAGGTTTTTATTTATAAAATTGATTTGACTAGACAACGGCTGTCAAGGCTGAGTCGATCCGTGTCACTTCGAAAAAGAATAATTTGTATGAATTCTATGCAACCAGTTCGTTGATTCGAATTTTTTATAATATAAAGCATCTAGGTCTTTTATGAGTATAATATATATTGATATTTCGATTAGGCGTATCCTATAAATAGAACTATAAAAAGTGCCTGTACAAAAATGCTTGTAATCATGTTTACTTGAACAAAAAAATAGTCTTACGAGTACAACTATACAACACTATTTTATATTCATTTATTTTATTGTGTCGTTACTGCTTGGTGGTTGCATAGATACATTTTACGGTTTCGTCAATATGAGGGTAATGTTAATTCTTAAATGATCAGTTATTACTTGCTCTCTAGCTCACGGGTCTGAGTAATTGAAATAACAAAAGAAAAATTATTATAGTTTACGAAATAATATTTGCCGTAAAGAAATAAAGATTATTATTTTGCACGTTATTTTCATAGAAAAACATGAATGATGAGGAGCCAGCGACGTTGGATGGACAATTTTTAGAGTTCTCCAAATTGTTGGACAACAAACGAGACGGCACCAAAATTACTCTGTACTGCTCAGACTATTGGACGCGGCAAAGTCTTAGATGACAGGAAGATTACGAAGACAGATACTAGCATCGCTTGGTGGAAGTTTTGGTACATATGAGTTATAATATACCTTTTTATAATATAATTATTACGAATAATAATGGAAAGGAAGTCAGGGTCGGTTGTTCATTGTGGCAATTTTACTAGAAATTAAACTATGGTTTTTAGAAATCACCGTGTGAAGATCGTCTTAGATTGCTAGCCATGGAACTACTAGACGGGGGAAAAGGGATTGTTACCAATGGAGTTTGACAGCCCCATTCCTAGCAATATGTTTTATTAGGTCGACCTCCACGTGGTTCCCCCTGGAAACCATCGTGAAAAATTCTTGTTGAATTCGTCACGATAGGCTAACTGACCTATTTCATCCTCACCTATCATCCTTCACTGGTGCCCCGCAGATATATACCGATAGCGCATGTGGGGTTACCATACCATTATCATCCATTAAAAAAAAAACTACTAGACTTTAATAACAATGCCCTTTCCCTCCCAACTAACGTTTCATATATGCAGTGCAAGTTTGCAATACTGCTTCTTTCTATACCTGCACGCGTGCATTACTGTCATCGCCATATTGCACTGGTTCTAATTTCTGTTATCAATTAAGTGAATATATCTCGTATTTTAATTCACTATCTCCTCTTTTTAACTATATTTAGCTATTACTTCTCTTTGAATGCGATAATGTCTTGTATTATTAGAGTATGTACATAATGTAGACATTTCGAAGTAGATACTTTTGATTTAAGACGATAATAAATAAATGTTATTATTTTTATTAGTAAACAATAATACATAGATAGATGACCTGTGTATTATTGTCTACTTTTTATCTTGTACATTTTTCTCAGCGAATGTAACTAATTGTTTTAGTTTATTTCTTAAATGACTGATTTTATAGTTATAAAATTGTAGTTTTAAAAAAAGAAAACTAGTAATTTAATTGTAATTTTATTTTAAACTTTAAATTGATTGCCTATGTCCCTTTTTAATTCCAATAGTATTTGCACACCATATTTCGTACCGTTTGGTCGAGCCCTTAAGGCGCCACGCTGTGAGTAGCAAAGTAACTTTTACATTAATAATATTAGTAAGGATACTATTTTTTTGAATATGTGATATTGGTACTTACTGGTAGTGTACGGGAAGTCAACGTATTTGTCCAGGCACGCCTGGTATTGCCGCAAGAGGCCTTCTTGCTCCTCTGCGACGGACTGCTTGGCACCCGTCTTGTTGCCGTTTATTTTAAACGTTAGTATAAAACTCTTGCTGGACTCCTAGTGACAGAAAGAATTACTTTATAATATTTATTTAATAGACAGAAACTTTGTAAAAACTCCCTCTTATTTATATATTATACAAATGCTTTAAGAAAAGCGGGTCAACTTTTTCATACAATTTTGCGTGATAGATAGTTACGAGCGATTCCTTTATAATTTCTATATTTAATTTGTTTTACCTTTTTAATGCGCAAAAACTCATTATATTTATTAAATAATTAAACATAGATACGTCAAGATACATTGAATTCGAAAGTATGTAGAACATTTATATAAAAAAAAAAACGAGTCAGTTAATTTGACAATTAGCTCACAAAAAGTTGACCCGTTTTTTGGCTCAATGCTCTATCTGTATAATTTAAACCTTAAAACCTATGTGGTCAAGAATAGTCCATGCTTGTACAAAGAAATTTTCGTTATAGCTATTTGGAAATGTATTGGGTTTTTTAAACGAAATTAAGCGATTAATCTTTCAGTTTCAGGGTAAACAATGGAAATACACTACCGTGATGTTATAAACGTCTTTTTGATTGTTTATCATTCATTAGACGTGTTAGATATTGCCTATTTCCCAACTTTGTAGTTACCAACCGGTTAAATTCTAACCCCTGTAAATAATGTACTATTTATAGTCATTTGAGAAATTAAGTTCTTGTATAAGCTTGATTGCATAAATATTGAATAGAAACTCGGAGGGTGTAAGATTTCGTTTCGCGAAATAAATTTGGGGAAACTCCTTTCACTTTTTCCAGGCACATGTAGGATTTCACGGTCCTTTTCTTAATTTAATTAACTTCAGTTCATAATAGAATTTGAAAATACAAAAGATTGAAAGTTCGATTCTTTGCAGGAGTTTTAAAAAAATATTTTGTATAAAATTACATAGGAAGTCTTTTAAAAACGTGACTTTTAAAGTTGCTATGGTTACAGTATTATGTTTACTGATCAACATTAAAAACAAAGATTATTTGTTTACTTGACACTGGATTTTGCCCGCAGCTTTGCCTGCGCGAATCCTTATTAATAACATGTCCTTTACATTAAATACGATTTCATTTTTGCTTCGTATATTTTCTAAATAGGTTTTATGTATAAGATTTGCCTAACAATTGTTAGATTAAGAAATTGTATTGTATTGTAAATTGTATTGTAAAATCTTTATTGTACATAACTCAGATTAAACACTGGTAAATGATTTAATATACAATGGCGGACTTATCCCATAAAGGGATCTCTTACAGTCAACCTTTGAGAAGCTGAAAGAAAACTGTAGAATGTATAAGAGTAATAACCGTACAATTAAAGATAAACTAAATAATACCCAGTAAAAACTTGAATATATAATACAATAAAAACAGCTCTATATACCTACATATGTAAATTTTAAATGTTCTTTCAAAACGAACTATATGAAACATTTGTTGAAGCATGGAAATCAATCCCTCTAGAAAAATTTATGAAATTGATTGAATCATTGCCACGTCGTTGCAGTGCTGTTATTGAAAATAAGGGATACATCACTAAATAATAGTTATAACTGTTGGTAGACTGTGACCCAATATGGCCAATACCAATGACCAATGTCCAATGCCAATGGCACAATACTAATTAGTAATATTTTAAAAAATATTCTTTTTTATACATTTCAGTTGTCGTTTCTAATAAGTTGACCATTATTGTTCATACCTTAAAACTGATTTAAATGTTTGACCGTAATGTAATGTCGAAACTGCACTTGTGTAGTGGGATTGATATTGTTATTTTAATAAATGATAAATCGTAAAACATATTGTTGTTCTATTTATTGTTTAATTTCAAAATAAAAACGATTGCGGTGCAGTGTCTCACATAATGTCAATGACCGTTGCTAGTGTTTCTAATTATACGACCACCACTGTATTATATTCAATAATTAATTACCATAATTGTAATTGGAGTCAGCAAAATTCTATAATCTCTGCTTAAACAATATGAAATAAAAAAATATAATCTATAGTAAAAATATTAATTATATTTAGTTTTTACAGAAGTCTGTGACACCATATATTTACCAGAGGGAGACTTTGTACAAAAGTCGATTGCTTGGGTACCTCTGTCCCATTCGTGTATCTACCGTGAAGCAGTTGTGTTTGCATGGCTGTGTTTCGGTTTGAAGGATGGGATATGGTGTGAATTTACAGGGTATAGAGGAATAACATCTGAGTCCTCAGAAATGACAACGATGGGGGGTATCATGGGAGAAACAGTATACTCTGTTATGTCCATGGTACTTCTCATGTCTATAGACGACGGTTACCACTTTCCATCAGGTGGTCCGTCAGCTTGTTTGCCATTCTAAGTTGTATAAAAAAAAATCTAAATTTAATATGATGCGAAAAAGATGATTTTTATGTTAAATGGAAAATAATTTTTTAAATCTTAGAGAACATTAGTGCAGTACTTTTATATACGCTAACATACCAGCCTTACTAAAATGTATTTTTGAAACAGTTTAAAAGTTACACAAATAAATTTTGCACTAGTGATGCGCGATTTTACTAATCCGACTACTAATTATTTGACTGTGCTTGTGACTGGACTTGTGAATCGGATTATTCGAATAATTTTAAAATTAATCGACTACTAATTTTATTTATCCGATTACTAATATCATTCGACTACTATCATTCATTAGTAATTATTGATTTACGAGTCGTTATGACCACAGCCGAGGCGACCCGAACGTTGGAACGTTTTATTTTTTTAATGGATAGTGGTGTTGCCAATTTAAATTTAATAAAAATTACTAAGTTTTGGTAAAAACCAGTACAGTTTGTATTGAAAACTGCAAAGTTATTACAACACGTATTGTAAAATTGATATTTCTGTACTTGGTGGCTTTTTTTTTCGTCGTCGTTTTTATTAAGATAGTAACGTAGTAGTAATGAATACAGATTGTGAAATGAACTTAGTAATGAACAGATTTAAAGAAAGGGCTTTATTGTAATTAGTTACTAATTAGTAAAATCATTCGAATACGGAAATTAGTAATTACTAATTATTTGAATAACAAAATCATTCAGATTCGTGCATCACTATATTTCACACGTGCGAAGCCTATGTATGTGTATATAGGTTATATATATATATATATATATGTATATGTATATGAGGCCTATAAAATCAAAGACAGCTAATCCATGTTCAGTAAACTAAAAAAAACTAATATTTTGTCAAGTATATGGAACGATATTCTATATTATAAATCAGAATAAAGAAAATTAGAATATTACGATTAATTTTAACTTCAATTAATAGAACTTTTAATTAAGAGAAATATTTGAGTACAAAGTGAAAATGAAATCGATTTTATATATATATATATATATATATATATATATATATATATATATATATATATATATATATATATATAATTAAATTGTTAAGACGCCAATCAGCAACAAACCAACTCCATTCAGATTTATAATTTAGGTATAATTGAGCAACTTATTGTTTTTTTTTTAGTTTGCGTTACTCTAACAATGAAATCAATTAAGTTTTAGAAGCAAAGTGGTTATATAATGATACGAAAAATGCAAAATATTTTGCGATGAAAATCGCCTATACATAAGTGCTCTTGGAAATAAGTACTTCTAAATCGTCCATTGTTTACATCTTGAAAATGTGATACTCTGTGTTGGGTATTTATTTTCGGCTATTTTGGTGCGTACTCAGCTTACTTGAGCATATACTTAAGACTTTCGTTATGAACTGTAATGTAACATGGAATCTGTCTTATTGGTTTAAGCTCGTCAAACTTTTTTACAGTGGTAACATTACATATGGGATTCATGTTACAACTTCATATAAGGTAAGGGGTAATAATATATTTTGTTATAAATAGAATTATTCCCGGAATAAAAATAAATAATAAAAAAAAAACAGTTTTATATGATATCGAATTTGAACTAGTAGATCCTTTTTACAATTTTGAACACCCCTTTTTGGACCTCCTAAGCAAAGAAAACGAACAACTAGATTTTAACCCCAAAAAATTACACTGACTTTCAAAGTGGTAAAACTGAATGTATACTGATAATAAAAATAATTAAATTTTTATTTGTAAGCAATCATGAACTAGTTATTTTTAAAATTATTAATTTTATTATTAAGAACTTCCCTCTTTTTTTTAACTCCAATATAAAAAAATATTTTTTTAATTATTTTCTTCACAGGATATGTGGGTTGAAAATATCTAATACCTTCTAAATTTAAATTTATAGTTTTCATTAATGAATTATTGAGTTATACGGATGAAAGAACAAACAAAGTCTTTTATAGTACACTAGCTTCTTACCCCCTACCTCGTACACGTTGATTTTAAAAGCAGGAGAACGTTCTAGATGGCGTATTTTAAGTTAAACGTTTACGAATAGGTACAACAGTTAAAACCGCAATCAACTTAAGGCACTAGTTTTTCCATGATGTCTATGTATACATATATATAGACAAAATTTCCAAAAAATAATGTATTGGCCTTTATCTCTTTTATTTTAAAACCCTTAATATCCGTTTATCTTAATATATCTTCCATGTACATACATCGTCTAGTCACAATTTTATAAAATTACTTAGAAATTTCTTTGTATCGTTCCCTCACGAGAACCTAAAAAGGACTCTTTTGGCAAAGCATTTATAGAGAGACATTTTATTTAAGCATAAGGTGACCTAGTATACGATTCGTATGGCCATTGTCGGGGCTAATAATATACGCCTACAAAGAACCCTTTACAAGAATAGAGCTTCCGAAGCGAAATTCTTGTGAACGTGACGTCCGAGCATGAATGATTTACTCGTGTACATTTGTATATGTAGTTATTAAGTTACATTTCCCATGAATCACAATTCCGATGATGGTATTTATGGAAATGGCTTGTTTAATAGTATTTTGTTATTGTGAACGAGCTGTTTCTGCGCCAGTTATGAAATTAATAGCGAGAAACTAATTTCACAACATTAGTTCGTTGATAGTTTCATTTCCTCCTGTGTAATATACTATATAATATATATACGAGTATAAGTATAATAAACTAGCTATAGCCCACAACTTCGTGCATGTGGTTTTGGAAGTAGGTAACCACATATTGGCGTATCAAGATCAAACATTCATCAAATTTCAAGTAAAATTGTACTCTTGAACCTTCAAGAGTACAATTTTACTTGAAATTTTAGGAACCAAATCAAAAATGTTATATATTTTAATTACTTATATGCAGACGTTGTTTAGTTACCTTTTTATTATATTAATAAATTAGTACCTTGTGGTTCTGGCAAAGTATGGGCCACCACTTCTTGTGACCGTGGGTGTCGTAAAAGGTGGCTAAGAGAATTCTATTGTCTAGGGATGGGCAGGCAGCGTCTTTAAACATCACCAAAGTTGGGGAGAAAGGGATTGTTAGTAATGGAGACTGAGAATCCCATTGCTAGCAATATACCCAACCAGGTCGACCTCCTCGCGGTTTTTCCTGGAAACTATCATGGTTAATTCCTGATGAATTCATCATGATGGGCTAACTGGCCTGTTTTCAATTCTCATCTATCACCCTTCACTGGTGCTTCGCCAGCGTATCCCGTTAGCGCAGACAGGGTTACCATACCATTTTCACCCATAAAAAAAACATCACCAAAGCCTGACTACGGTTTCCAACCCGCCTGCCAAGCGTGGCAACTACTGGCAAACTCCTTCTTATGGGGGAGACTTATGTTCAGCAATGGTCGGATAATTGCTGAGATGATGGTGATGATGTAAGTTAGTTGAAAAAGTTTGTTATTTGAATACTTGTTACTTCATCGTGTTTGAACAACTGTACAGATTTTAATAACGTTCGATAATCATATCAAAGAATAATACGCAGGGTAATTTTTTTTATGCAACTTAAAATGGCAAACAAGCTGACGACCCACCTGATAGAAAGTGGTAACCATCGCCTATAGACATGAGCAGTATCATGGACATAACGGAGTATACTGTTTCGCCCATGATACTCC